TTTTTAAAATTATTTTACAATCACAAATAAAAAATTTTATAGGTCACAATTTGTTTATCGATCACATATCAACAAATTTATAGGTTACAAATCTCAATTTTATAAGTCATAAATTATTACACAATCACAAAGTATTGATTACAAAATAACAAATTTTTAGGTCATACATTATATACTGGTTACAATTTATCTATTCATTGGTCACATATTGCTTATTGATCATACATTAACCAATTTATTGGTCACCATCTCCAATTGCACCATCGCCAATACCATCGCCGCTAGAACCACCACTTCCCTATAACAACACCATCATCTCGAACGAACCAACACCCACTACCAAAAACTACCACTACTTCATAACCACTGTGATGGCAACGGCAACGGCCAGCAGTACCACCATTCCCTACACCATCGACACAGCCTAACAGCTTTGCCATCTCCCAAAATCATTGCACAACCACCACAGCACACCATTATCATACACTGCAATTATAGCGAGATCTAAATCTATATACGTTGCTTCCTTCATTACCATTATCATACACCACAACCTACATCTCCATCATACCGCCTCTGTCAAATCTTTCACCTCTCGCTAGTAGGCATCCAACATCACGCCCTCATACCTCAAATCAACAGCCTAGTCGACCAATTACACATTACCATTTTCACTGTGCCTCTTCATCCACAAAGTCCCCACTTGACGACTCAAAACCAAGATCAAAAACATCAATTCTCACAGCTAATCGAAACATCCAACTTGCGGGTCGAGGTAAGGGTTAGTGCCATGTGGAGTGGTAAAATGCGGTAGTGGTGCGAGGCTAAAGGGTAGGGGTTGGTGCTAGGTAGTTCGGCATAACACAATGCTGCTGTGAAGTTGAGTGGAAGTGGTACAACGCGACGATGGTGCGAGGGAGGATAACAACCTTCGCCAGAAGGGGTAGCAGCACCATGAGTATTCGGTAGAGAGAAGATGGAGAGAGGGTAAAATGGTTTTAGGGTTTGGGGAGTAATTAAATTTGGGTTATGGATGGGTGGGGTAGATTGGTTAAATTTTATATTTAGAGATGCTGGGCATACAGATTCTGATTTCTCAGAATCCATACAGACCACTCACAGCGGGGGGTGGGATGGATTTTTTTGGCACTTTTTTATTCATGTAGAACCCACATTCATGTGAGATTTCTGTATTCTTTCTGTGAAATAAATTCTGTACATATGGAAAAAATATTTTATATTACTACCTTCGTTTCATTTATATAAGCTAACTTTTCTTATTTACATGTCCCAATTATGTAGTCATGTTTCTTTATTGAGAATGTTTTGTATTGTTCATTTACTAATATACCTTTATTTAATTTGTCTAGTTATAACCAACTTCTTCCACTTAATCTTGAAATTGTACAAACAAGGAAAATTTTTGACAAAAATTACTTTTTCAATAATATTAAATAAAATTTCTTAATTTTTGTGAAAAACAAAATAAGCTTATGTAAATGAGACGGAGTGAGTATTATTATTAATATTTAAAATTTTATTTTTATTTGATTTTTGAAAGAAAAACTTGTAACTTTTAACTATGAATTGAGATCTTGAAAAAACTTAATTTCTATACTTTTCACTAGGGTTGAGCAACGAAATCGTCAAATCGCAAAATCGAATCGAAACATTGGTTTGGTTTCACGTGGATCCGTCAACGTTTAGGTTTTGAATCGAACCAAATCGCTTCGAAGTGATTTGGCTTATGTTTCAATATTTGCAAATCGTTTCAAACCACCAAACCGTTTATCAAAAAAAATCTGAAAATGAATTAGTCTAAATTGAGTAAAATGTTGAACAGTTGTTACTAAAACCATGTTCATCGATTCTCTATTATAATTGAGCAGATAATTAAATCTAGATTTTAATTCAAACTTACACATTTTATTTCCTTCTACTAATAATTTTCTTAAACTTTGCCCAATTTCAAGTCAAATTATCCAAATTCTTATATTTTTTGGTAATCTTTTTCTATTTTTTTATTGGTAGTTATGTAACTTATGTTGTTTTGTTCTAATAATTATTGGGCCCCCTTAAAGTAATTCGCTAATATTTGGATGGAGTAGAAGTATTGAGTGATTCACAAAAAGTCACGATAGCTAGGTATTATTGTACTTTATTTTTTTATTCATTTTCTTTTATTAGTTATTTTATATCATTTAACTATAATCAATGAATTCATGTACTATATTTTTATATTTATGAAGAGAATGAATCGTGTATTACAATTGTAAATGGATGTCATTAGTATTGATTAAGAGTTTTTAAAATATTTATATCATGTTGTTGCATTATAATAATTATGATTATAATTATATAATTTTGATTTGTAATTTTTTAATAATACAACTTATGTTCTACCATGAAATTTTTTACTAATATTTACAATATACCCTATTTGATATATATTAATTTTTTCTTTGTTAAACCGTAGTTTTAAACCGAACCAAACCATAAAAATGGTTTGGATTGATCTGGTTTAGAAATTAAAGTGGTTTGGTTTGGTTTGAAAAAATTCCAAACCGCTTTAAATGGTTTGGTTTGAAAATTTATCTCCAATCATTCAAATCGAACCGTGTTCATCCCTAATTTTCACTAATATATATTAGAAAGTACTGAATAATATGACTTACACAATTTTAGTTTCTTTTTTCTTTTTCAAAAGTAGCATCATTTGTTCCTAAAATATTGAGTGAATTAATAGAAAGATGATAGTTACATAATGATTCCCTAACATCATATAACATCCAAGTCTCTATTGTAACAATCTCATGGTTAATTTTACGAAATTAGATTTTGTTTTTTTTTAAAATTGGACTTGGCTTAACAATTTCTAGTGAGGTATATTTTATGATGGTTTCATAAGATTTAATGAAAATGTAGATAGGTTTTGTCATTTGAAATTGATTATACAACTGCAATACAATATGAAGGACTAGCTCGCTCATTTTTAAAGATTGAAGACCAACTTACTACTTAAAAAATAGGTTAGGAACTAATGGTTCATTTTTTCCATTCTACTTTAAACGTGTCTAATATCGATAGTTCTATGTACTAATCATGCTCTATTTGCATGATCATTCTTTTTTTATGTAAAAATTCTAAGCTATTTCAATGGCCTCAAGTATGAAGATTTATATATTTTGTTGTCACATGCTGTGTGGAATATTTATTGTGGAGTAGCCATTGAGTCTTTGTATACATGGGAATAAATTTTCTTTACCGTTAATCATTTTATGTAAAATTTTAACATTTTAAAAAATATATTCACTTATAATAATATATTTTTTAAACACGCCCTCCAAAAATATCTAAAACTTTATCACTTTAAAAATATATTTATTTATAATTATATATTTCTCGACACTTCCTCCAAAAATCATGATGTGAACTATGTTAGTTTTGTGTAAATGTAAGTATGGTATTTTTCATTATTATGCAATCTTAAAAAGTCGACCTCGTAACTACATTATTGAGTTTGTTTGTTTGCATGTACCAGTAATAAAGCAATAAACTTTGGGGGGGCCCTTGCTGTACAATATATACCTTGGTATGAAAATAGTTTTATTATTTTGTTCACATTATTGAAGACATCAATGGTTCATATGAATTATGTTGTTGCTCTTAAAAACTAGAGATATAATGTTGACACAAATTTTCTTTGTAGATAATTAGCAATTGAAGGGTTAGGTACAGCTGTCTGGGTTAGCTTTCATATAATCGAACGAGGTATGTGTCAAATTCATTACCTAGACACGTGTGGTGTTTGGTTGAAAAGGAGAAAAAACGGATGGTTTTGAGATATTTCTACAATAGGATTCTTTATATATATAATATTATTCGTGTTTATAGTCTATGAAAATTTAGTTCTATAGTAACAACTGTATATATGGGAAGAAGGGTCGAATAAATTGACAACAAACTATATTTTTAGAGATGTATTTTGCATTGATTCAAAATTTGTAATTTTTCTTAATCACACCAAACCTTTGTGAAACTATAACTAAATTACTAAGAGAAAATCTTGTTAATGAGGTTACATTTAGTAATAAAAAGGAATTTATAATCACTCCATAAGAGAATGAAAAATATCACAAATTAAGTATATTTATTTATTTATTTATTTGCTAGAAATGTGAGACAAAAGTGATTAATCATGTTTGGAAACTTTAAAAATAAGAAAGTGTTATTTAGAAGAAACTTTTATTTTATCAAACATGTTATATACCTTCTTCTCTCTCTTTTTTTTTTTTAAATAAATTTTAAGTAAAAAAATAAATAAATATAGAAGTGATTCTACTTTATTGTGAAAATAGGTAGCTAGTTAATTGTTCTATTTTTCATTAGTAAAGCGATTTGTTCTATTTTACATCAATAAGTGAACTTTTTAAGCTTAGTTGAAGGGGATGAAGTCTAAGAAACACAGAGTTATGCTATTGACTTAAAGCGATCGACATGAGAAGAATGTCTAATCTATAAAAAAATCTTTAAAAAATAAATTAAGCAAGTGCAGAAGTATGCTAATAATGAAATTTATTGGGCTTATAAATTATTTTAATTTGCTGGCAATTGCTTGGCATGTCTTATTCTGAAAATAGTGTGTTTGTAGAATATGTGATGCTGAGAGATTCTGAGTGGGTTGGCAAAGTGAAGTACAAATTGACAAGAAGAGAAAATATTAGAAGAAAGATACAGATAATATAAGAATGCATGTATCTATCTATATTTTTAATTAACTAGGGTTCGGGTGATGGGATTGTCATAGAATATTAAAGAGATGATGTTGATATCCGCCTGCACAACAATAAGAGAGGCACATGCCTATAGCAGCATCAAAAGAGCCCNATAGAATATTAAAGAGATGATGTTGATATCCGCCTGCACAACAATAAGAGAGGCACATGCCTATAGCAGCATCAAAAGAGCCCTTTCTCTACTTTTCTTTTTTGAGAGGTTTTTCTTCCTTTCATTCCCCCACATCTTGCGGTTCAACCATCCTTATCTTATCACATTTCAAGCCCATTCTTTTCCTCACTAAACTTTGTCACATCAAAATTTAGCCCCGACCTCGCCCGTCCCCACCCTTCAAATCAAGGTTTGAGAGGGGGTGGGAGTAGTTGAAGTAAACTTGATTAAATACTTATATTTTCTCGTGAAGAGAAAATCCTTCAGGCCCTGATTATTTAATTTGTTCCCGATTTGCTGTTTTTGATTAAGCTTTCCACAGAAAAAGCTTCCTTGACTTACGATTGATTAAGCTTTCTTGACTTGTTATTTCCGACTTAGCACTTTAGCCCATAGTTTGTTCCATCTTAACTAACCTAGCTAGAGGCCTCCCTTCCCCACTTAAATATTCCAAGGACAATCCAACTACTTTTTTAATCCTCTTTTATGCTTTCCCAAGTGTTCCTATATATCTCATTTTTCTCAAACTTTCCACACACACAAAAACACAGATTTTCTTCCCAAACCTAGTAGTGAAACCTTAAGCAACATAATCGATATTTCCCATGCCATCAGTACGTTCTAGTCCGTTCCACCAAATGGAAAACCCTACCTTACTATCGTTCCTCCAAAAAACGACTCATACAGGTGGCAAGAAGCCAAAATCCGGGGGCGGTGGCGGGCTTCTGCGCATGTTCAAACTTCTCCCCATGTTAACCACCGGCTGCAAAATGGTTTCACTGTTGGGACGCCAAAGGAAACCTCTACTAACAGATGGTGCCACCACCGGAACTCTATTCGGATATCGTAAAGGACGAATGATTTTATCCATACAAGAAGATCCTCATCGCATGCCAATCTTTGTCATAGAACTTCCTATTCTCACAACTGCATTCCAGAAAGAAATGGCTTCTGATATACTCCGAATTGCCCTTGAAACTGAGACGAAAACCCACAAGAAAAAAGTGCTTGAAGAATTTGTATGGGCTGTTTATTGTAATGGTAGAAAAATTGGGTATTCCATTAGAAGGAAAAATATGACAGATGATGAACTTCATGTTATGCAGCTTCTAAGGGGAGTTTCAATGGGGGCAGGTGTGTTGCCGAGTCCGTGGGAGAAGGAAAAAACAGCAGCAGATGGGGAATTGACATATATGAGGGCAAGATTTGATAGGGTTGTGGGATCAAAAGACTCAGAGTCATTTTACATGATAAATCCAGATGGTGCATTGGGACAAGAACTTAGTATTTTTTTTCTAAGGAAGTACTAGGATTAATGTGTAATAATAATAGCATATTGAAGTGAACAAATGATCTTCATTTGCGATATAAGTTTTTTAAATGGTGATGTTTCTTATTTTGTTTTTAGAGATAGAGTGAGGATGACATTCATGTCGAGGCCTCGTGTCGTGTGTATTTAAAATCCATTGTTTAGCTCTCGACTTTGAATCTTAGCACTCAAAAAAGTCTTGTCACTATAAACAACAAACTCTATTATAGATGAAAATTCTGATGGATATTAACTCAAAACTTGCCAAATGGACATCAATTGTGAAAAGGGATAAGAATCTAATGGTGATCAAACTCTTTACCTTTTGCAATTAGCGCTGCCTTCGGTTTATTGGAACCAAAAGATTCCAAAATTCATTGTTAACCATTCGAAGCTGGCAAAATTTATGTCCGTCGCCTGCCTAATTGATCGAACATATTGGGTTGACTAATCAACTTTCTCCGATAAATCAATTGTGGTTTTATCTCTTTTATGTCTGTGAGTGCCTGTAAGTATTATTATTTCTACAATTCTTGAGAGATTTGATGAGTGAAATTCTATTTGATTCTTAAAAATTTCATATTGTGGAAAGCTTAAATCTTTATCTGAACAAGGATCTCGAAAACAAACAAAGGGAGTCGATCTTAATTACCAACAAATTCATCTTTCATCATTTCCTTATCGATTCCCAAAGCTGTGTTTTAGTTTATATTAAACAACCAATGTTGTTTAAAATGTATATTGGGGTAGATTTTCTTTTTATCTTAAAAATAAAAAGTAAACCTTTAACTTCTAGGAAAACTAGTGTGGTATGATTTGTATGTTGAACTTGAGGTAAACGACACCTACTTGTCATACATATTTGTATGTTAGATCTTGATAAGAAAAATATTAATTCAGCACAGTGTCAATGAAATAAATAAAAAAAAAAAATTAGCAAAACTAGATGGTTTACAATATGATCAAATACTAACTAGTTATTTAAAATTTGAATCCACAGAATAATTATACTCAAATTTTACTTATATCAGATCCACTTAGATTTGAATTTGATAAATAATTTGCCAGTTTTTCTTATAATCGGTTTTTAATTTAGATTGGAATCACAGTTTCAAGTTTTCAATAGCAAAACTGGATTTCGATAATCTCTTGAGAGACCTTTACTTGTACACTTTAATTAAACTTGATTTCAAAAGATATTTGGAAATTAGAAAATATCAATCTTATTCCAAGATATTTGATGGTCGACATAAGTTAATAAAAAAGGTTTATATATATATATATACACACCAATTAAATGATGTGTCATGTCACCGGTGTTTAGGACAAATTTTGTTAAACACCTAACTTATTCACATCATTGTGAATCTTGCTACACGATCGATTCATTGCTCAACTTTTGATTCTACGATCAACTGATAAGCAATGAAATAGCTTATGAAACTTAGGGATTCGATGATCTGTTCACTCATTAAATCAACGAAACGAAATACTAAAATCTCTATTGAAGGAAATATGAACTATAAGGGTTCTTTACTTTTCTTTATAAAAATGGCAAGTATAATTAAAATTGTTCAAAGTTGAACATATTATGGACCATCTCATCCGTATTTTATTTAATTTAAAGCAACCAACACCCGGCCCATCAAATCACCTCCCTATCTGCCCGCACCACCCCTAACCGAATAGCACCTGAGCCCTCCATTATCGTGTCCACCGCCATAGCCATCCAACCTTTTCAACTCCTGCTGAAAAAGTTTCCTCAAAACCTCCCTAGTATTCTCCAACCGGACATAATGTTTAATCCTCCACTACCCTCCCCCCCCCCCCCCCCCCCCCAAA